AAAAAGTGCGGCTTAGATTCAAATAAATACCTGTGTATGTGCAATGCTCTTATTTTTTTAAGTCTAGAAATAGTACACGAGTGGATTACTAAAACTTGGAAAGTATTTATATCTGGCATAATAAAAAAGTCATTAAAAATGTAGTATATCTAACAATCTGGATGGAAAGGAAGTTGATTATTTATTTATGGATCTGAGTAATAGTGATGGTGAAAAAATAAAATAGAATTCGATGATGTGCATGAAAATATAATTGAAGACAAATATGACGATATTTTCATGTTATCCTATAATGAAAGTTCATCAAGTATGTCATTTCTTTCAAATAAACAGTGTTTAGATACTTACAGAAATCTAAATTTTTATGCTTATCTTTTCTTTATTGTTAAATCTATCATTTTTATATCTGACATATAACTAACTCTCACCCGTAAGTTTTGATTTTTTTTTATGTTAAAAATCCGTGCTATGCGCCGGATTACAATTTTGGTTCAAAAATTCATTAAATATGGAAACTATTGAACATATTAAAAATATTCATTATCATTTCCATCATTTCATGCCTCATCATCAAACTTCTTGCAAAAACTAAAAAGCTATATATATATATTAAAAATTCCTGTTTAATTGTAAAACAACACATACAGCTTGAATTGTTATTGTTTCTTGTATAACAAATATTTCATCGCATTGTATTTTTTCGTACACTCAATACCGATGCTTTGAAGATCCAATGTATGCATTAAAAACTTTTTATTAATAAGCTGTTTTCTTATTTTATACTTTTTAGAGGATAAATATAATTTCTTTCAGGAAATTGAAGAGTACAACTTAGAAATTAATCATTATGTGTAATATGGAGTGAAATAAAAACTTTTAACAGGAGAAGAGTGAAGTAGTTTTATATATTTTCAAAGGAATACTAGACAGAAATTACTTATTAATGCCTAGAATTATATATGCGTTTTGCTTCTTCTGTAAAAAAAAATAACTACAAATTTAGGGATTGAGTACTTTTGTTTTAATAAAGAACTTAAAGTCTGTTCATCTTGGAATCCATAAGGTTTGTTATGTAGTTCAGAAACGCCAACAAAGGATCAACGATCGTTGGATAAACGAAACCAGAGAATACGGCTGGAGAATGATTTTGCGATTGCCAAAAAGCTCCGTTTTTTTTAATGTAAACTTTTCGTATTTCGATATGCTTTAATTTGATGTTTAATTTTTGTATTTTAGTTTATTTAATCCCTTTAAATTTTTCTTACACATTTCTTTTATAAAAATATTAATGTTCTTGTATATAATAATTGCAATTATTTTTCTCATATTTCGATAAAGTCGTGTATATATATATATGTGTGTATTCAAAAATAATTTCAAAAGGTGTACATTTTTACTAATCTTGAAATCAGGATCAGAAATAATGAAAAGTACATCTTATATTAAAAGAGAAAATCAAAAGCATAAAAACAGAAGGGTACTCCAAAAATTCAGTATGAATATAATAAACATAGGAGGCTGAGGACTGATTTTAACGGGATTAAATCAGGTTTAAGGGCTTGGTTACTTTCTACCTGATGTTTATAATCCGAAGTGAAGTTCATTAAATTATAGCGTTTGTGTTTATAAACATAAAGCTTTATTCATCAGCTGTTTTATCCATTGATTTAAAATCGATCATAAAACTTAATTTTCTACATATTATTAAAAAATATTTTCCCTACAAAATATTTAGCAAATTTTAGCATAAATTTTCTTTTTACTTACTGTTTTGTATATGTTTTTCTGGGATAATATCAGTTTAATAATAAGATTTTGATTAAGTTATGCAATTATTTAACCTATACATTAATTTAAAAATTAATGGTTTATAATCTGTAGACCTGATACTATAACTTTCAAAAATATTTTATGAAATCGTTAGAAATGCAAACTTTAAGTTCGTCCGATTCACCTATTGAAAATGTGTCGCATTTTTATCTTAATAAAGAAAGAGCTGGTTTTTAAAAAAATAGGGATATGTTTTCATTGTTTTAGATTCACTTGAAAACAACAGCTCGTTTGTTAACATAAGTCAGAGTAAAAACAACTTCGCATTAAAACTAGACAACATATCTTTGGTATATTACCTCACTAAAAGAATATATCTTAAAATAGCATTGAAATAAGCATGCGCAACCTCGAAGGAAATATACTTGTATTCACTGTAATAAGTTAAATCATAGTATATCAAATAGTAGGTTAATTTTTGCGTTGTTTTTCATACTTATAATTTAAAAAAAACATATCAGTATAGCTTGTTAAGTGACAAAAAAGATAAATTTCTTCAAGTAAATGTCTACATAACCATGAAAGGAAGAAATGGATTTATAGATGAACATTTGTCTGGCGAAACCGATAGTGTTAAAAATTTATGAATGAAAATAAAATTTTGAGATTGTATGGCCTATTTTACATATCAGAATTCTCTCTTTGATCCTACTCGTAAAATTGTTGCTCTATTAAAAATTGGAAATAGGGTTTTAAACATGGGAATTTATACAGGGTTAATTTACACACACGTTATTTCTAGCCACATTTATAAAAAACTGAATATTAGAGATGAAATTGTTCCTTGTAATTTACAGTTATTTACTTATAATCGTGAAGCAATAGCAGTATTAGGAAATGTACGGTTATTTTACTATACAATAAGCAATAAATGTAATAGAAACGGAAATGTAACAGAACTTTTGATCCAGTTTTTGGTTGTGATTATATGTTAAATTGAACAAACAAGATATTTTCAATCCAGTATGAGATGCAAATTTATAAAACTTAAGGAACTTTTATCAAAATAGTCTAATGTGTTTTCCGAAGAGGTAAGAAATTAAAACCTATGAAGCAGATTTGGATTTAAAGGAGGGTACTTTATCTATAATTTTTAAACATAGTACTTACCTTAAACTTTAAAAGAATGCGTAGAAATTGAGTTGGACAAATTTAAAACGCTTCGAATTTTGCATCGTTTGCATATTTATTGTGCTGGTCCATTTGGAGATGCTTCATTTTTGTTTATCATAGATACGTAACCCTTTATCAGGCCATGGTAAACATACTTACCTCCATATTCGTCAATTTCATATCTTTATCAGTCATCTTCCTATGTTAAATTTACAATTAATTTTACATATTGTAGTATGTCCGAAACATATTTCATAAATTTGTTGTTTTATTATGTGTATGTAGTAACCTCTATTTTCCTAAATTTCTTGGAAAATTACATGTAGAATCCTCGTCATCATCTAAGAATATAAAATATTTTTCTAATTCACTATTCGTTATATATATATATATATATATATATACTTTTAATAGCACACAGAGGGTTGTTGAAAACACATTTCCACTACACAGAAAGGTCTTAAAATCAAAATAATTTCCTTTTCTTAAACCAATCTCGTCCCCGAAAATATTTTAATGTACCATTGCTAGAAAGAATAACCCTATGGAATCAAAATGGAGTGAGGTATAACCCTACAAAAAGTCAAGTACATCTTCATATGAAATTCCACACTTTTTTATTGTTGATTTGTTGATTTCAAAATCTTCTATGTATTTTCTTTTTTGATTCATTTAAAAGAAAAAGAATAAACTTTTTATATTTTATTAGTTTTTAACTATTCTTCGTGGAAAACAATTAACTTTTTGTATTCTAAAGTTTTGGACAAATGGAAAATAATTTAGCTATAGAACTATTTACGCACACTGAGTTATTATTAAATTAGTATTTTAAATGTAATTAATCATTAATTTTTAATGTTTTTTAGGTTTCTTTTAAAATTAGGCCTTATTTTGAAAACATAAAATTGTAATTGAATTAAATATAAATTTATTAATTTTAAAATTCAGCTGAATAATTATTCGAATAATTATTCCTACTTTTTTTTTATTCGAATACTGAATTTAAATTAAATCACATTTTCAACTAAAGTAAAATAATAGGTAGCATTTTTTCAATAAAGAAAATTAAGTTTTAAACATTTAATGGTAAGCAACATCAGACAATCAAAGTGCAAACTTAAATTTCTAGTTATGTGAAGATTTTACTCTTTTTTTCTTCTTTTTTTTTATCAAAGAAAGAAGTTTACGAAAGTAGAAAGGGTCATTCGCGTTAGACGAAACTATTTCTCTGTACAGTTGTCTATACGATAGCGTAGACTCGGTACAACACTCACATGTTTAACAAATATGCCAGTTTCACTTGAAAAATCGCTTGAGAAGATAATCTACTCTTTAATTCAGTTGATACTAAAGCAATAATCACTCTTCCGAGACTGGTTCTCTTCCATTTCAAAGTCAATATTCCATGAAGTAGTGTTAATGTGACGAAAAAAAAACTGTTTCCCCTATTCAATCTTATTTAATTTAAATAAAATCAAATTGTAGAAGCAATGTTACTAAAGTGTTAAATAGATACACATTTCCAACCAAAAGTTTATAATATATATACATATATAATAACTGTAAACCTACAGCTCTGTTTCAAGAGAAAAATAGAATATTTTTATTCGTTTCTTATTAGTAATTTATCTGTAGTGCTGAGTTGTTAAGAACGTTTCATTTGGTCAAGAGATTGATTAGCATTAAGGGATGGTATTCAGAAAGGTTTGATAAAATGAGCGTAATAAAAATATTGTAATCCAAATATTCTTGCTCTTCTGAATTCCATATGTGTATTTGAGATTTTTAAATCTGTAAAAAATGACGTTGGTTGCTCTATTCCATCTCTCTCGATTGCATATATTTCTATATATATATCTTGTTCAAATTTTCAATCGTTAATAAAATATTTTCTATTCATCCACTCAAGTTCAAATACATTTTTTAAAACTTGTAACGGATTACACTTGATGTTAACACAGTTTTTTCAAATATTAATTCTTTAATTAATGAATAAATAGTAACAAACAAAAATAATAGCCCAACAGCATATTATAGAAAGGAAAATTAATCGTTGTGTCCCTGTAGCGCAATGGATAGCGCGTTTGACTTATAATCCAAAGGTCGTGGTTACGAATTCCACCTGGGATGGCCTAATTTCTGAGAATGTGATTTCTTTTTTACTATACTATATTTTATTAGAATAATTGAATTTAATGAATGAATATAAATAGTAACAAAAAAAATAGTCCAACACCATATATAGAAAGGAAAATGAAAAGTTGCTTTCTATTTTGTTACTTAATTTTGTGATTCTGTCATATGAATATGCATATTTATATTAATTGTAACTATTTAATAAAAAGTAACTAAAAAATAAAATGTTTCTTTGTTGACCTAAGTAGGAATTGACTTAATTTTCTTTTATATTACTTGTTTCTCCTGAAAAAAATAAACTGATAATCAAAAAAGAAAGAAAAAAATTAAAACATCAAAATCATTTTTGTGCATCAAAATTATTTTATTAGGGAAAAAAAGGCTTAAATTCACTCCTTTAAAAAAAAAGTATAGGTAGTTTACTGCTTTGAAAAGTAGATTTAGATATTTCATCATTTTATTTGCCCTTATATATTTATTTATTTGCATTTAATTTGATCCTACTTAAGTAATTTATTTCTACAATTGTTTTATTACTACTTAAAGAATAAAATACTCATTAAAATTTTATACTTTTAAATTATGTGTGTGTTTGTACTCATACTTATAAATTAATTTCAATCTGTAAGCATAAATCTGCGCTTTACGCATTTACAAAATTTATTCATTTGATTATAGGAAAACAATTCGGACATCATTAAAATAAACTATTTGTCTCTTAATAGCGCAATTTCGTCTTTTATTATTTCTGCAAATGTTTCATTTATGAAATTGATATGACCGTTTCAGACTAAAAAAACTCTGTTAACAATTCGCTATAATTCAAAAGTGACGTATTGTTTATAAATTTTTCCTCGCTGTTTGAAGGAAAAATAACAGATTTCTTTAAAGGTTTAGGGATAATTTAGTAACTATTTTAAATGTATCTTCTTATTTTGAAACTGAAAAAAAATAATTCATCAAAAATTGGGATGTTATGAATATTTTACAGATTTTAATTTTACGAACACAACTTAAAGAATGGAAGTATGCATTTTAAGTAGAATTTATTTAAAAATTCACGGTATGTAAGCCAAGCGAAACAAATGCGAGGCCTTAGTTGAAGGCATGGTCGTTCAACTTTTTCATCCTCTGTAGTTTAATCGGTTTCTAGTTCTAGAGCGTTAAACACAGAACATGATAATTTAGTTGCAAAGAAAACAGTTCTTTTTTATTTTAAAATCTTGCCAGTAGAATAAAAGGATTAAAAAGAAAACGAAACATTTTGGAGTTCAGCAATTCTTCATTGGAAACTGAATTACACATTTGAATTTACTTATAATTAAATAAAAAAGTTTCTTATATATTTATAAAAGCAGAAGTTTAAAAAAAATTCATATAACAGATAGGTTTTCTTATTCTTAAATTATTAATGTATATATATAAACATGTATCGAAAGAGATTGTGGCTTAAAAGCCTATTGATCTCTATTCGTGTAATTTTATATAAATGAACTTATAATTTATGGAATTTTGTATTTGTTTTAAAATTTTAATGAATTTAAACAACTTATATCATTTACCTTTGTAATTTAGAAAGTCGGAAAATTCTTATTAAAGTCTGAATTGGTTTTCATTAAGGTTCTTCTTTTTTTAATTTTTTTTCGAATCAATCCTAATTAAATGAGGTTTGATGTTTATTTTTTTCTTTTTACGAATATGAGAAGATAATACTCTGTTTGGTTTGATTTATAGAAGCAATCTCTTCTTGCATTCTAAGTGTATTTGAAATTATTCCACTATCCTCTGATCATATTAAAGAAATTTTACAAATGATTTAGCTAAAACTATTAAAAAATTATCTTACTTAAATCACGTCTAAATATTAATATATTAAAAGTAAAATACGAAATCTCTTTAAAATTAATACAAGGATTTTAAATTTGATGATCAATTTTCTATAAATATACAGTCTGTAATATTTTACATTCGGATACATGAAAAAACAACCAGCGTATTAGATTACTGGGTTGTTGAAAAAAATACTTGGTAAATTTTCAATGAATTTTAGAGGGACTTAATTTATTTATTCACCTGTGTTCCGAAAAACTGCGTTTGAGTAAATTTGCAATTTTGATATAAAAACCATGCGAAGTTTTGCTATTTTAGCGAAGGTAATTTATCACTTCTCATAATTTTGAATCAAGTTTAAGTGGCGTGGACTATGCAGGGGTTGGAATCTCATTTTTCAAACTTTTATAACTCATCATGTGAGGACTTTTAGGCTCAACTTAATTTAACGCGTAATTAACCCCTGTTAATCCACCAATGAGGTTTTTAATGAAATATTTATTCAAATAAGTAACATCACTTAAGAAAATCATTGGCAACAAAAACCAAAGTTGACACTACTTAGTTACTAAGTTTAAGAGTTGGTTGTTAAGATACATTTGAAATATGTTTAAAGCTAGAATTAAAAATGAATGCCACGTATATTTCTGTGTGTTATGTTTTCAAACGAACCAAAAAGAGCATAGGCATTATATCATTGGCGTATATATTCCCATATATTTCCAAGCATATAATTTTGAATGCCATTCATAGCAAAACCTATGACCAGCACGTAATTTTCCGCTTGCAGTTTTGTATATATATGGATCATGGATATCAGTAAAGTCCAAATTCGCTTTGCAGTATACACTCTGAAAATCATAATATATGCTCCCGAATGACGTTATAAGATAACCTAATCAGCAGTAGCATATTATAAAAATAAAGTTATACGCCATATTTATTCGAATCTAAATCACGCATTTTTTTCATTGTAAATGCTACTGAAAATCGGGTAGGGCTTAGAGTAGAAGGTGGAAAAATTCTCTGGACGGAAAAAATTGACCATGATACTCTGACGATCAGAGCAATCATGCATTAAAAAGTTTTTATTACTGATAAAATAAATTAATTATTCCCTTCTTATTAGTTCTCATTAATTTTTTTTTAAATTTCATATACGTCGGATACCGATAAACCTTTTTACACCTTTTTTAATTTTTTCACAAAAATATGTTGAGAATTTGGGTGGCGGCATAGAATGGATGGAGGCTTAGATTCGTATAAATACGGCATATGTGTTTTTAACGCGCTGACTGCCAACTACGCGATAACTCATTGTTTGCGCCATTGCCAAAGACGCCAGCTACGAATTATCTCGCAGTTTGTTTGCTTGTCATATTTCAGTAGCTCGCAAATGTTCATATATAAATGTTCGTTCATATTTGTATAGATGTTATATAAATATGAACTTTGTAATATTTGTATAACATCTATAGCAAATAATTTGTAAATATTGGCTTTTTGCAACAAAATCCTGAAAAGTATCGACGTAGTAAATGCTCTAAAGAATCAGTAGGATTCCAAATGTGATATTGAATTTATTAAGGGGTCTCAGGGGTGTTAAATTTCTCTAGAGGTCTAAAAATATAAACAATTTTCGAACAGGTATAATTCTTTTAAATTTAAATTAAATAATTCGAATCTTTTACACATTATTTATAAAAAAATGGGGCTTCAGAAAAGTATAAAATGTTTAAAATATAATCATAATTTTAAAAATTATAAGCATATGAATATAAGAGACTTTTCTATAAGACATATTTATTAAGTTTTACGTCGCGCATGCTATTCTCTAAAATAGTAGCTTTAATTACTAGCTATAAGTTGATTAATAAAGTTAAATGTGTTCTCATTACACTGTAGCTATTTTTATATAAATAGAAAAATAACTTCCATATTTTAATAAATAAAAAAAAATACATTTTTTAAAAATATTTAAAAAATTGCAATGCTTTACAAATATTTTGAAATACAAAAGATATATATTACTAAAATTGGGTAGGGCTTAAAGAGTTTGGTACATTTTATAATTCTATAAAGTTTTATACATCAGAGGCTTCTATTTTAGAAAATAACGTGCGCAACGCAAAAACTACTTAATATTTATCATAGAATTTTCATATGCTTATGATTTTTAAAATTATTATTATATTTTAAACATTTTATATTTTTCTGAAGCCCCCTTCTTTTATAAATAATGTGTAAGAGATTCGAATCATTTAACTTGAATTTAAAAGAATTATACCTGTTTGAAAATTGTTTATATTTTCAGACCTCTAGAAAAATTTAACACCCCTGAGACCTCTTAAGATATAAACTCTTGGTAGTAATTACATGCTATACCTTACATTTTTTTCAAAAGAGAAATTTCGAATTGTTATAGAAATATTTGTTTCAGAGTTTTAAGGATATTTGAAAGGTGTCATTCAAATCGGTTAGTTGCAATAAGCTAAAAGATAATTTTATACAATTTCTTTTATATAAGTCATTAATGGAACATAAAATAGTGTAATGCACAAATCAACATTTTATCCAAATATACTGCCATTAATATAATGTGAACACCACTAAAAAATATTTGTTAGTGTGTGTGTAAGCTACAGATATTCGTAGAGTTTGATTCATGGGGAATGTATCTCTTATATATATTTTAAACCAAAGTTGAAAAACAAACAAAAATTTAAAAAAAAATATTTGAGAAAAATTATAATATGATAAGATATAAATTATTTTCACTTTAAAAACTTTATTGTTAAGTGGATATTAATTTTATTTTTTTTATTTAATATATAATATAGGAAGAAAAATGAGTCGAGCTACGAGAACTAAAACTGATGTTTGATGTTCTCTTTATGTAATATATAAAGAGAGCTATTTTATAGTTTATTGCTTGAGAAATATCCCCCCTCCGCCTTTATCATAATCTGTTATTCATTCACTAGTATAGAAACTCTGAAAAACTGCTGATGTTAATTCC